TTACCATTCCCCACATGAAGATATATCATAAAATCGGCATATAGCTTTACCTCCTCTCTTGGACATGTTGTTAAATGTTGCTGCATCTTTTTTCACTCCCTTAGAATCTCGGGCATCCTATTTATGCTCGCCTCACTCTTCATGAAGTATTTCTGAAGGAAGGTATGATTGAGCTGAACCCAGTGGTCCCGGTAGGACACATTATTATTGAGTCAGGAAAGAAAGCAAATTGGGATAGGAAGAGCAAATTGAACAAAAGCACACGGTGAGGACAGTGTGTTACTTGTTCAGAAAACATTGAATTCTCTGTGGTTGCTGCAAAGGACAAGTCCTATTAAATCATTTTTAAAAAATAATTTGGATAGTGCTTATTTTTACTATTTATCACAATTTTTGCTCACATTAGACCAAAGGGAGATTTGAGCAAAATCCAAAATTTGTTCGTGTTAAAAATCTAGTCAGTTATTTAGTTTCTAGGGAATAAGTTATTAGCTCTAATTTAAAAATAACTCTATTTTATAGAACCACAAGGCTTATTTTCCCTCTTAGCAACCATCTAACTTTGGCAAGCAATCTGAGACTGAAGAACTGGAGAAAGGAGAATGCCAGGAGCCTTTGGGCTTTCAAGTTAAAGCTGTTATTCTGGAAATACAATCAAAGTGGAAATGCAGAGGTAACCTAGGACAAATGATGCACTTGTTTTCTGCTGAAGCAAAACAGAAGGATTTGGATAGAATTAGGAACACAAAACTAAAAGGGCACTAACTCAGCTTTGAAAATTGTACTGCCGTTTGTGTTCTTGACCTAATTTAACTGGGCAGCAGAAAACAGAGGTCCTGCAAAATTATATAAATTGTCTAAGGCCCTCACTTATTGATGTGCTAATAACCCAGGATCAGAATCCTCGTTTCTGAAACTCCAAAATACATTATCTTTCCCCAAAGTCAGTTCCCATTCTGTGTTAATTCATCAGTCACTAAGGCTCCTTTCCACAACGAGACATCTTACTAATAGGAAAGGCCTGGAGTAAGGATTACATGATTATATTTTCACTTGATCTTGGCCAAAAGGCCAAGAAGCATTACATGTATTATGTTTAAATGAAAACATTTCTCAAATTAAATACCACATTGTTGTACTTAAAGTAATTTAACTTTTCATGCTTTATTGCTCAGACTGGCGAAGTGATAATTTCTTTAGTTGTTAAAAGCAATTAATATATGAAATCTTTTCAAGAAGAAAAATTGAGATAACTTCAACATTGCAATGAAAGTTTGCAAACCAGGCATCCAAGTAATTCAATAGATAAAAACAAGGGTAACCTTTGGCAAAGTTACGGAAAAAGAAATTTGCACTGGCATTCTTTCCCTATGCTGTTTGTGAACTTAATAGTTAATGAAGCTCCTCTTATCTACATAAGTAGGTAGACACATAGATAGATAGGTAGGTAGATAGAGAGATAGATAGATAGATAGATAGATAGATAGATAGATAGATAGATAGATAGATAGAAGCTTTTACTCTGGACATATTCCTTGCCTAATTCTCACCACCAAAATCTGGGGGCATTTTCATAAGTGTACAATATTTTCATGAGAAAATGTAATGAACATTAAATTTTATCAATCAGCTACATATTCATATGTATAGGAAGATATTAAATAATTACCCTAAAATGTAATCATTTTACATTTTATATACTGTTTGGCATTTGTGAGCCTTGTATTATTCGTTTGAGCTTCCCACCTGGTTAGATTTCCCTCCTGTTGCTTTCATGGTAAACCTCTATCTCTGCCTTAGTGCTATGCTGTCTGTTTTCGTTTATTGATCTGATTCCCTGTTTCATCCAAGCTTACGTGATTACATGCAACCAACACTGACCTTTAGTAAATTAAGTGAACAGGTTTTATTATTACAATATCAGGAGCTCATAGTACCCAGGAAAATACAGGAGAAATAAGCCTGGGAATGAGTAAAAGTAAAAGCTTCTTCAGAAGACCAAGAAACATGAACGAAAAGAAGCATCTTATTCTAGAAACAACTTGGACAAGCCATCATACTGGAATTAAAGTACCTATCGACTTGTAGCCTCTTCTTAACATAGTCAGTATTAAATTTTAAAAATAGATGTTTCAATGACCTGATGTGGGTCATGTGCTATATTTTGGATAAGTCAAGGAATTTATTACATAAAAAAATACTTAGGGTATTACATAACATGGGAGAGAAAGAGAGAGACATAGCCCTTCAGAATAAAATGAGGAAGGTATAATGAATGATAACCATTACTGAGGAACAAGTCAGAGCTCTCTGAAATAAAGAACTATGTTTTTAGTGTTTAACTCATATTGCTGAAAGTCATTCACATCACCACATTTTAGAAAGATTTCTGTCACCATAAATATGTATATCTCTTTTCTTTCAGTACTAATCCTTAATTCTTATGCTTTTTAGCCTAAGAAATATATCTTAATTAAATGACAAAAAAATGAACAAAACTTATTCAAATACATACTAACTTCCAAGAATGCAATGATGAATAACGCACAATGCCTTTTTCTCAGGAATTCCTATCCTTGGTGGAGAGTCAGACATTTAAACCAATGACAAGTGTGATATGAGTCATCATGCAGGCTAGCACCAAGAATATGTTTTCCACAGTACAATGTACATAATCTAAAATTCAAAACCACCAAAACTTTAAATTCTAATAGACATTTTTTAAAACTTTTCCTATGAAATATTGTTTACACCTGTAAAGGATAGATGTTATCCTGACATTTCTCCTTAGATACATAAAGTATATTTATCATGTGTCTAAAAAGAGAATAAAAACAATATGGGCACTATAATTTGTGAGTGTATAGAACATCAATATGGACAAGAACTAGAAGATAACATTGAGAAATAAAAAGTTATGCTAGAATAATGGATGAGCTATGTATTTCAATTTCCTTTAATGCTGTTATACATTTAATTAAATTTACAAAGGTGTGTTGGGACAACTATTCATTGATTCAATTTTTTAACAGAAACAAAATACACTAAAAATTATTCTTGCCTGATCATGTGCTTTACTTCATTGTTCAAATTTTTACAGTTGTGGTTCTTATTGTGAATGCCACGGTGACTCTCCTTTGCTATTACTGTTTATTTATTCCCCGTGTTTTTTTTTTTTAATATATTGCCTCAAACTATATGTAACTTATAGGTTATGGGAAGACAAGCTGTGGCTGATGAGTAGATTTTATCATCATTAGATGGCTGTTTTGATTCTTAATTTTTTTTAAAGCTGTTGTCCAATAGTGTCTATCTAAAAAGGGGGACCCCCAAAACAGAATTATCTTCTGGAAGGCAGGCCCCTTGTAGTACAGGCTTCCCCTCTGGGTGAGTGTTCTAGGAAGCCATCTCTATCCAGCCCCAAAGTGACTTTTCTTCGTACAGGTATTTTCTTGCAGAGTTTCCAGCATCTGGAAAATCATCCCCTCATTCTTGCCCTAAATATTCAGAGGCCTATATTGAAGATGACCCTTTTCATCATGCCTTTTCTTATTGCTCCAAATGGAAATGACATTTGGCCTTTCAAAATATATACAACTCTGCTTGTGCCCCCTTTTATTAATCTGTTTTACATTAAAACTATTTATGGGAACAAAAATCATATTATGTAAGGTCTATGAAGACAAAAGCAACACCTTCTCGTCTTTATATTCTCCATATAACACAGAGAAATGGCTTATCTGAAGACATTTGTTCTCCTGTTTAAGTGTTTTTCTTATTCTTAGGAAGCCACAGAGGGGAGCTCGGAAGATAGCGATCTTAAACAGGAAAGACCGGGAGAGAAAGTGGGAGTAAACAGGGGTGCCTCTGGATCTCACAAAATTTAGTTAAACTTCTTTAAATATAAAAAAAAGGATTTTATTTGCTTTATTTATTTGATTATTATAAGAAAGCCCAGCATTTAGGTGACTTAATATAGAAAGTATATTTGTCAACTAATGTGCTTTATTTTCCCTTGCTTATCTAGTATGCTACTAGCTTCATTAATTGTTTTTATGTTTAATATTCAGCTAGGTTTATTCATTGTATTTGGTTTTTATTTTTATAAAATTTTTATTTTTGTAAGAATATCCCCCTGCTAAGGAATATAACTGCCAGTGGAAAAACAGTTCAGTGCTGTTTAAAGTGCAGCGCAGGGAGAACTTGAGTGGGTTCGAGTGCTCTGACTAGACCACATCCTCGTCTTTGTCTTCTTCTCTTCCTCATCCTCTGGGATCCACAGAGGTCAAAGTTTTAGGTCCAGGCAAGTTAGTGCTCACTGAGTTTAGTTTTTGTCTATCCTACAATTGTACCCTCACAGATTAATGGACAAAGCAGTACATTCACATCAGCTCTGCCCCCAAAAATACTTATTTGAGTAGATAATCTTAGACCAGACTATAGAAATATTTACATATATTAGTTATGGTATACCCTTCCCTACCCAGAAAGTGGAAAATTGCCATTTTATTTTCTTTTTTAATGTATTATTCCTAAAGAGATGAATTTTAGAATAATATTTTGGGCTTCCAGAAGTATAAAGCAGCAGTTAATTAGTTAGCATTGCAGTGAAGCAAATTACAGTGAGAGGTTATAAAGCATTTTCTTTCTTACTGAGAAAATAAGGTGTGTACTTAATATTTCTCAGATATACTAGAAGTTAAAGTAAAGAAAAAATACAGAATTTCCTTTTTTTGAGGGACTAGGATTCTTAAAATAATTCCATTGGGCATCACTAATATAAAATGGTGTAGAAATTATTTAATTTTAAAGTTAAGAATTTTTAATGTACACATTTTAAGATTTCTAATATATACAAATTTCCATGTTATTCTTTCTCTTTGAGTGTGACGTTGCCTTTGTATTATATTTTACAATGTCACGGGACTCTATTTGTTGAACCTGTTTCTTGTTCTGTGTCTCTGTCTCTCTCTTTTTATGTTCTCTCTTTCTGTCTGAAGCCTGAACAAAGCTCTCCTGGAAGCAATGCGAACACCCAAGTTGTTACAACAAAGGAAGAAAATCTGAATGTCCCTGAGTGCAATTCTGAAAATGTAAGGTTAACTTAAAATAGTTTTAACCTATTAGTATCTATTAGTAACTAAATAGATACTATTGAAACTATTAGTAACTAGTATAGTTTCAATAGTATCTATTGAAACTATTCATGATTGAAAAGAAATCAGGTTATAGCAATAAAATAAGTCAAAATAGAAACATAGGTTAACCAAGTTGATTTCTTTTTCTTTTATTTGCTGCCAAAGTGAACTTAGAAATATGAATTTTTCAACAAGTTGCCTTCCTACCTTTGTATATTTAAACATGTACTAAAGCTATACAATTTAAAACATAAGATTAATGACCAATAGAAATGAAGTACTTTGCAATTTAATTCCAAGGGAAGATGTCAAAAATATTTGGGGTAGGAATACTTTGTTACAGTTTGAAGGACAGATAGGTCTCTGACAGTATGAGCAAACTGCAGAGAGAAGAAAGTAGACTAATATGACTAGAAAATGGAATACAGAAAGAGGTGAGATACGTACCTCAAAAGATAATTTGGGACTTAAGTGGAGGGACCCTGATTTGAATTAGGAATACAGTTAAGGTTTTCAAATGCTTGTGTTCATTTAAGTGATAAGTTCATCAGTTATGTAACCAGTCCATAAACATGAGTTATCTCTCCATTTATTTATAACCTTCTGCAATGTTTCATAGATTTTCAGTGTACAAGTCTTGCACTTCTTTTGTTTTCTTTATTACTAGTTACCTTATTCTTTTTAATTGTATTATAAATGGAATTGTTTTCCTAATTTCAGTTCCAGATTCTTATTGCCAGCTATAGAATACAACTAATTTTTGTATATTTATCTTGAATCAGATTAAAGTGTTTCAAGTGACTGTGAGCTCTGGAGTCAAAATGTGATGAGATTTGCAAAACAGCTACAAGAAATTACAATGTTGGTATCCAGTATTTAGGATGCTACATCCACAATAAGAGAGATAAATCCTTTATATAATTTTGCCAATTGGTCTTGACTGGCAAAGCATGGTCCGTTCTAGATATGTCACTTGTAAGGTCAACAATGACAAAAGGAGTGTGTCTACTGTGGCTTGAAGTGAGAGGCTGCAGTCAGGAATGTAGTTTTGATTAGTTTCATTTTTGTTTTTACCAGTTACCTAATGTGTAACCATGAATGGTTAACCCTTTTGAGGCTCCTTTTTCTCTTCTGAAAAAGAGACATAAATGTATCTTACCTTATACAGCTTGTTAAATGATAAAATGATACAGCCTAGCCTAGTACCTAGTGTATTGTTGGCACATACCAGTAATTATTACTTTCTGTTTCTTTGTGCAAAGCTATCCCTGTTACTTGAAACCTCAGTGAATATTTTAGAATTAAATATTTTAATTTCTCAAAGGAGAGAACTTAAAACATGACACAGACAGCCTTAAAAGCTATAATTTTTAAATAAGGCCAGTTTTATTAATTGTTACTCTCAGAATAGAACAAGATGCAGCTTGTGGTAACAGCTGTAAGGAGAATATTTCAGTCAAATATAAAAGTAAACTTTTAATGAAAAATACATGAAAATAGAATTAGCTACTGGATGACATAATATATGATTGAAAATTGAAAAACAGTTTTTCTGGGTATAGTTAGGAAATGAAACATTGGAGTGAAAGACAACAACCATTACATTAGCATCTCTTTCAAACCAGCATTCTTTGGTCATCAGCAAGCTCCCTGAGCTGGTGGGAGCACATGCAACCTCTCAGGGAATAAAGAGCAGGAGCGATGCATTTTCATTCCTGTTGGTCACACCTGAGACTAAATAACATGGTAGAGAAAACCTGGAAATTACATAAAACCTAGATTTGAATAGTAACTTTGCTATTTCCTAACATGCCACTTTGGCAAGTTATTTTATCATTCATACCCCTTATCTATATAATGTAGAGCAATGGTTTTTAAACTTTTGCATGCTTATAGCTCACCAGGTCAACCTATAAAACTGCTTATAGTAAGGCTCTAATCCCATAGAAAATTAATCAGCAGTTCCAAGGGACAGCCCAGGAATATGTATTGCTTAATGAACTCACCTAGATTTTCTTCTGTCAGCATTTCCTGTTAAAAATTTTCAGAAGTTTTAATATTGGTTTCTTGCATGTTTATCATGATAATTATGTATGTTGTAATTATATATAATATATAATTGCACTTATAAATTATAAAGCACATAAAACATATTACTTATCTATAATTATTCTATAATAGATATTAAATATATATTACTCAATTATATCCTTGTTAGTGTCCTACTTTGTTCATTCTGAAAAAGCTGCTCTGCAATTTGCATGTTCAAAATCTCAGTATCTTCTATGGTGAAGGTCCCAAATATGAGTAGAGGCCATGCATATTCTACTTCCTGTCCAATGCGAATAAGACAAGGTCATGTAGAAAATGATCTCTGGATGCGCTGGCCCTTGTTTGTTAGGGTTTTTTTGTTTATTTGTTTGTTTTTTTACAGAGAAACCACCAAAGACTTAACAGAGCATGGGGCTCTATCACTTTGGGGTATGTTTAAATGACTTTGAAGGCAGCTTTGCTTAAATAATAATATTGGAGTCACATGGAGAAAGCGAAGAATGTAACTGCTTCATCCCACTTTCATGCAGTTTGTAAATGTGTTTCATATTGTTTAACAGCATATCCAGAATTAAAGGCATTGAGCATTTTATTTTAATTTTCGCTTAGAGATTAAGACTTACTACACAATGTTAATTTGTTTTACAATGTTTCTGACTGCTGTAGGCAACAAACATTTAATTTTTCACAATGTTTTATGAAAATAAAACATGTTTAGCACCGTGAGCACTTGCTCAGTTTCTTGCCATTATTTCTGCTTGGAAGTCTCTGACCAAAAGGTTTATTCAACAGAAAAAAAAAAGTATTGTCTATGGACATGAGAGAAGAAAATGTTCAGAAAATAAATCCTAGAGCTGGAAGGAGAAAATTATGCCAGCTTTGTCATGTTAAACTAATTTTGTCAGTTTTAACAAATCCTAGTTTGCTTATTATACCCAGTATTTATTGTGTGACATCTGATGGCCCCAACAAATTGTTGGCCGAAGCCACGTTAAAACATTTTCTAAGCAAGTCATACCTTGCTGTGATTGGGCTGAGGCCCCACCTGCCTCATTCTGGGCTACACTCCATCAGACCATCAGAAGAGGCTGACTTCATACAAGGCGCTTCCCATTGTGCTACTGTGGTATTTTTTAAGAAGTACTCACCCTTCCAGATAATGTAAGAATGGTAGGTAGTTCCCTAAGGTCTTTAAAACATTTAGATATAAATAGTTTTTCAAATTAGATATAAATTCTCATGTTTACTCTCCTATGACATCTTAATTTGAATCATGAAAAATGTGAATTTCTTTTTTTTTTTACCGAATTAGTATAGAAATCATAAGAATAATGTTTATTATTTTGGTAAATAAAAATAGCTTAATACGCATGCTAGTATTTATTATAAGGATATTGGCCAGTCATGGTTGTAAAATATTACCACTGATATTTAGCTAATAAAAGGGGAGCACAGGGGACTAGACGCCAAGCTTAATAAAGTGGGAATATAGGCCTGCTGGCTTAGCCAGGAAGCTATAGCTTCACATCCCAGGGGATCACAGATTGCTCTGCCAAGGGGACTAACACTTTTCCCTTCCCCTCTCTGGTACCAGATTGCCAAGTGGGAGCAGAGGAATGCAGGCACATGTGCAATAGTAGTCAAATGGTGAGGGGAGCGGTGCTTGACCAAAGAAGCCTGTCAGTCTAGCCTGGAGAAAGAAAGAATCGGTTGGGAGGTAACCCACCCAAAGCTGGTGAATGCTTGGGAAGTTTGTAGGTCACTTTGTAAAATCAACTAGAATGTCCCAAGCCCAACCAAATATAATTCCAGGGGAACTAAAGGCTGGCACACGCACGTGCGCTCTCTCTCTCTCCTACCTCTCTGCCCCCCCACAACCTCCCTGGTAATGCAGTAATATGGTACACGCGACTTTTCTTTCCATGACAGCATGGCCTTAACAACTACATGGCCAACAGCCACATAGACTGTGTCACTGGAGCAGTCAGGAACTAGCTGATCTACTTGAATGGGGACTAGGACTACTTAGCAGCTACCTGTGGGCTCCGAAGGACTAAGATTAATATGAAGCAGAAACTTTGGACACTGGCTTTTGCTTTGGCCTTGCTGAGGACAAGGTTGGGCTTTTTCCATGGTGAGATAGGGGAAGATGGGACATTGGAAACCCAGGAACAGGTTTCAACATGAATAAACTGTTCTCACACCCCACAATATCCTATGTGTAGAATTTTGGAATACTTGCCTTGCAATACCATGGAAGAGCCTAATTGCCAACAACAATGTGGCAATAAGTTTGAGAAAACACCATGATGAAATCTCTTATTTATGTTCTCACCAAGTGAATTTCTCCTTCATCAATGACTATAGTGTTGAAAAGATGCCTATTAAGACACAATACCTCACATCAAAGCTTTGTTGCCCTTTATCTTTTGCTTCTCTGAGAAACACTAAGAATTTGATGAACCCATCTCATGAAATTTCTACAATGCCTATGAGGCACAGAAAAAGTAAATTTAAAGGTAATGTTCATTATAAGATGAAAGTATGTAAAAAGATTTGAGCTGTCTTCCAGCCATATCATATTTTCTTTAATGTTAAAATTAAATGTTTTCATTGTTCAGATGATCAAAGGCTTCCCTCATATAGTCACTATACTTGAATTAATGGAAGCCCATACTCACCATACTCATCTGAAAACCCCTTAGTATTTCTCTCATGGCAGTCACCTAAAGTGATGTGCCACACATACATGCGCACGCACACACACACACGTTTTTGAAGTCAGATGTATTTGGAAAATGGCTTATATCATATATATTTCTAAAAAATTTATAAGGCATTTGTGCATTATGTAGTGGATTTCAAATTTCACTGTGTGTTTGCATTGCTGGAGTGCTGCTTAAAAATGCAAGTCCCATAGTTATAGGACTGAAATATCACCCAAAGGTATTATTTCTTTAAACAATCACCTTAAGCAATTATGTGGATGGATCAGTCAAGACCAAAACTCTAAGAAATTGTGTGTTGAAAGCAATGAAAACTACGTTAAATACAACTCATTAATGTTCAAATAAACTTTTCCTCCATTATTCCAAAATACATTTTGAAGATCCTTCATTATATAGGTTGCTTTCTGTACTTACCATGTTTTTTTAGCTTGACTTCATATACTTACTTTAGTTAACTTTTAAAAGGCTGAATGCAAGTACAATAAAAACAAAGACCAGTTACATTATTACAATGAAAAGTCAAATAATTATAGTTTTTCCAGGGTAATTTTAGATTCTAGGTCTAACTCAAACCCATGCAATATAAAAGGGAACATTTATTTCTTAGGTAGTGTAGAAGATTCCACTACACATCCGCTTAAAACTCTTGGGAATAGAGTAGTCACGGTTTTGACTACCAACTGCTATTATTATAATTACAACCTATTTTTCTCCTGTACTGTAGGGTTATTTAGAAAAACGGGCTGTGTGTAATCATTCTGGAGCCTCCATCAAATATGCCTAAATTTAATCTTATGAAAAAATCAGGCATTTATTACAATTCTTGTAATTGTAGAATTTCATATCCAACATTTGTTTTATTTATTTATTCAGAGATTATATATTGGCCACTTGCTATCTGGCAGACATCTAGCTGCCATTTAAATCTGATAAGCATTGTCTTTGGCTTTAAGAAACTTGTAACATATCAAGGAGTCATACATGCTTATCAGACATAAACAAAGTTAAGTGCTAAAATTTTTATATTTATTGTACCATTAGAACAGGGAAGTGTTAATGAGTCTGTTAGTGGTAGAAGTTATGTGCTGGGGAGATAATGAGTTACCAGTTTTCAGAATGTTACAGTGAAGGCAGATGTTTATCACGGTGTGGTGTTCGGTGTAGGCACAAAAAGAAAGTAATACAGTTTCAAGTGAGAGCAATATAGTGTGAGAATAGTGAGTATATAAAGGAACTTTGCTCTAAAATCTGAATTGGAAGAAATTAAATATCCTCCTTGTAGAATTTACAGAATATTAAGTTCAAAACTAGCTTAAGTATCCTTCTGTTTGACCTCAAGAGAACAAACTGACCTGTTCAAGATCAGAGCTAACTTGTGACCATGAACTATTGAACTCCTAAGCTCTGCTTTACACAAGAAAAGGATTTTGGAAAATACAAAAGAAAACATATTCTTACACTAAAGGGTTTGTATCATTAAGTTAAAAATGTATTCAAAATATGGAGGAAGAGAAAAAGGAAAAGAGGAGAGGAAGATGACAGGTCATAAGAAAGGAGGATGGAAGAGAGGCAGGCAAAGAAGGAAAGAAAAAAGTAGGAAGGGAAAGAAGAAGGAGAGAGAGAGGGAGGTAAAATTCAGGATTTTCATCTTGGTTTAAATGGAAATGAAGCCCAATTGGAATACGCTGCCAGCAATTCACCTTCTTCAAGACTATTGAGGCTAGGAAGATTAGATTTCCTGGTTAATAAAATACAGGATATTATACCAGAAATGCAATATTTTTAAGGTTTTGAAGGTTTTTTGCTAGACAGATTGATGATCATATTGTTTAAGGTGTTTCCTGCCTTGCAATATTGATGCTCCTGCAGGCATAGAGACCATTGGCATACTCATATCCTAGAGACTAGACACATCACTAATGCAGAGGTTTTATAATTCTTTTACTATTATTAAAGAAGGAACTGTGCATTGGCATTGAACTTTGTTGTAGTAGCTGATGGCTCTAAGCACCATGGAGATCCCCAAACCTACCTTGAATGGTTGTCTTCTCCTTGGGATCCCGCCCATGCTGTGATGACTTTGTCCCTAGATTGCACTTTCAGATTGTACCAAAGTGAAGGAACGGTCTCAATGGGAAGAATTCAAGAGAATTCCTCTTCCCCTTTCCATTATTTGATTTAATTTCTTTGACCTATTTTCAATTGCAGCTTTTGCAGGAGGACAGGGCATGTTCTATGAAGCATAAAGAAAATCCACCAAGCAATGGCACTGCAGAACCAGAGGGTACTCCACAGGTATTTCTTTTTTAGTTGCTTTTGATTATGTCAGTAAGCACTTCTTGAATCCACTTGGTTCAGTGATTTTTTCTCTCTTACTGTAGCTGAAGAAGGCATGTTGTGTTGGTTAATAAAAGATACTCCTTCATGTAGTGCTTCTTGAACTTTCCCTGACCAATATGCTTGCCACTAAGCTTTTAATTTTATTATCTGAGGCCCTCAGAAGAACAAGGGTGAGGGAGGTGTCCTTCCTCTCCCCAGCAACCAAGAAGCAAAACGAAAATAATCTGAGAACAAAAAAACATGCATTTTTTTTTCCTTAGGGGTAAAAAGATAAAAAGAAGATCTGTAGAAGTAGAGGAGGTAGAAGTACATATCCCCCACAAAAACAAATAGCAAACAAACACAACTCAAGAAGTTAATTCTGAAATTGTCTGTACTGGCTATATTTGACTACAAATAATTATGTTATAGTAATTGCTAGGTTTCATTTCACTTAATACAACATTTTTCAAATTTGGGGTTAGATTAATTAGATTGAAAGGATTGGCTAAAGTTTTCTCAAAATATTTTGAAATATCTTGCTCTTTGTACATAATATATTATGAACTTTCATGAAGTAGCAGTATTGACATACTTACATTTATTTTTGGTCTGGTATTAGTTATCTATAAGATATTTATTGAGACTTATGCATTTAAATTACCCCATTTTACCCCATATATATTTTTTATTTTGACTCTCCTAATTTTCTTTCTTTATTCTTTGACAGAAATTGCAAATGTCTCCTTGTACTAAATGTGAAGTGGAAAAAACCCAGGAAAAAAAATTCACCAGCTTTGAAGGAAAGGCATCTAAGGAAGAAAAAATACTGTAGATATCAGGAAACTGTGTTAAAAACATCCGTTTGCTATTGTCTTCATAACTTTTTTAGACCACAGGCTTGATGGAAATACTAAGTTTTTAAATCATGCAACTTTTTCACAATTTTATGTACTTTATAAAATAGTCTTCAAATTTTCCAAAAGAATCCAGGCCAATTATGATCCTCCAGCAAGAACCTAATTAGAATGGATATCCACATCATAAAAAGTCATTGTCATCAGTACATTGCCCACTATAAATTAGTTTGTTTTGAACTTAAATGCAATATAAGAGTTGATACTTTTGACTCATTTGGGTGTTTAATACTTCTATAATCTAGTATGTGAAAATCAGCTGGAGCATGATAAAACATTTTGTATCCCCAGAATTCTTAGAATCCAAATTACAATCATATCATAAAGAATTTGATTGTCACTGGCTAATTGGGGTCACATTGTTCAAGGCTGGAATCTGTGCCAACCTGAATATATTTTTTGAGTGTTTATTACTATTTTTATTATGTTGAACCATGGCTAAACAATACCAAGGCAAGTCTGTCATGGATTTAGTCAGTTAATATAATTCATTAAATGTGTTTGGTATTATATGGACAAAATATCTAAATGAATAACTATATTTCTGACACAACTGATTAGATTTTTGGTATTTTATAGACACTCTTGTGGTTGTCTGCTGGACTCACTCCAAGTTAAAAATCAAATTGTTTGAAATGCTTGGCATGATTTTTGATATGAAAGTTGAGAAGTAGAATGTGGGATAGAATGGGGGTTTCAAAATTCAAATTTGAAAGCAGATAATGTACTTTTTAAAAATGGGGATATGATCAAAGCAAAATAGCCATGTAGAGCCAATTAGCCCAGATTTGTACACTTCAAAACGTTATTAAAATAAATCAATGACTGTGATAATTTTTGAAGTTGGGGCTCTCTCTAGGAATGTCATTGATCAAATAAATTCACTCCTGAATAATCTGAATATAGCCCACAAGCAAGAGGAAATGACACTTGAATAATTATCAGATAAATAAGATGGTTATAACATCAAACTTCGAGACTAGAATTAATGGATTAAATGATCAATTGTAGTTTGTCTGCACTGAATATATATAGGTAATTTGCAGAAAGCAAATAAAACTATAGAATTTGTATAATGAACATGCAAAGCAGCAGGGCACTGAATTCTGGTAGGCTGTGTTAGAAAGACTTAAAGATTTATATATATATATAAATATATATATTTACATATATATTTATATATATTTGTGAACAGTAGATAAAATTAAAGTCTAGGATATAATGGCACACCTTTGATCACAATACTAGTCAAAGAAATGCGGTGATTTGGAGAAATGGCAAATTATCATTACCCCTGAATGCAATATTGTTATATAATCATGTAGCTGTTGTACTTAAAGATTAATTCAGTGTCATTTATCAGTATTTTTTCAGATTACAGGCTACCTAAGAATAAAAGCGTATTAATTTTGAAGATCATCCATACAGTTTTCTGATGAAGTGACCACAACAGAAAAAAAGATCTAGGTCCAAAATTTCTGCTGATTTCTTGCTCTAAAATTTTAATTCTATGAGAAGGAATATGAAAAGTTTCTTCAGTCCTGTTCCTTTTATTATTCCCATTGTATCCACAACCCTAACCATCTCCAAAGGTTTTTGAAAGGGAAGCAGATAATTTTGCTTTAATTTAGATTTACATTCCTACCCTTACCCTGTGCCCAATTTCACTCTTAGACTCTATGGATCTTACAGAAAGTTAATCATCCATTTCATCTTAGCATAGTATGTTTATGAGGCACTTTGGAACTAATAAAAAGAGAATCAGACTGATACTTTCTAAAATTGTTATATTATATCATGATGAAAAATGAGAATTTGGCTTAACATTAAACAAATTTCAACAACTTATTTTTTTCAATGCTCTAAATTCCTATTCTAGTATTGATAATAAAATCAAGTTGCTTCTCTTAATTATTGCCATGATCAAGTGAACTTCAAATGAATATAATGTATATACTTTTTCTTTACATATAGATAGCATTATGTGTCCTGTAGAGTTTACTGTGGTATATTCATTGCATTCTCGTTTCAAAACAAATGGAATTTGTAGCAAAAGAACTTATAAATATTTTTAAAGAAATATTCTGAGAGTTCCTTTTAATAATTATGTAATACTTTTTTAGTATGTTCTATAACTTTAATGAATGCATTTTATTTCTCTCAATCCTGTAACTGCTTTAAAATAGTATGAGAGAGGTTTAAAATGCTTTACTTACATGCGTGGCTTTTGTCTATAAGAGAGGTGCCATTTCTTATTATATCTCTTAATTAATAGCTCTAGAAATACATGGTTGTTTTTGAGGAATTAACAGTCTTGCCTAACTATCCTCATATAGAAGGAAGCATTAACCTGAATGTTGAATATAGATACATAATTATATTATGTACCTGTAATGGTAATCAATGGAAGATTTGTTTTTCATAATACAAATTGATATATGTTGAGAAGAGTACTTTATGATGGAGTAACTTAATGCAGGGATTGCCAGAATGATACCAATTTATTTCTCTCTAGTTATTTTAAAATATTAATCATGCCATATGTTCATTCTAAATTAGAAGTTTGTTTGGACTTTGTGTTTCCACTTATATCTGTTAACTATGTAAATGAAACTAGTGCCTCAAGTGTAAAAGACCTAAAAGAATGCTGACTGTGTATATCCAATACCAACATCCTCAGATGAAAAGTGAAAAAATCAGTAACTCGCCTGGATGCGATCTTCTGTGTGATCTCAAATCTCAAACACTGAATATATTAAATGGCTAACTTTTTTTCATTTGTTAATTCTGTATTTAGAAATGTAACGCTAGTTTGAACGTAATTCTGTTTCATTAAATATACTGGATTACGAGTCTAAGACAGTTAAGTGAAGGAGACATTTACGGTTTGAGAGTGACAATGTGGAGAGCTGGATTAAAACAATTTCTGCAAACTTTGAATAATGGAATCTTTTATTTTTGTAACTTAGGTATTGTAATTAACACTAATTGAAGCAGAGGCTGAAATATTTTGACACATTAGGCTAGAGTGAGCTGGCCAGACCTAGAGAGTGATGAAAATGTACACTTGTTTACGAAAGGGACATTTTCCGTCATGTGCACAGTCCTAAATTTCTCCAAATTATTTGTTCATATGGATTATGTACCATAGTGTCAATGGCCAAGTGATGAAGGATAAAAGGTATTGAAAGATGGCCTATTTTTCCTCAATAAAGATTTGTTACCAAAACTACAATGTATAGTATTCTACATAAAGTAATTGAAAAAACAAATATGAACATTATAAACCGTGCTTGCTTCCATGTATCAAGTTCTAAGAACTTTTTAAAGACATCATCCAGGAAGTTTTGAATCTTCAATCTCTCTTTGCCAGTGTCCCGAAAATCTTTTATTTTATTTGAGTGTGTTTTTTTTAAATAGAGTTCCATGATGACAGATATTTTTGTCTTTTTGTTTGCAAGTCAATCTCGAGTGCTTAGAACTAGCTGCCTTATAAAAAGTACTAAAATATTTGCTGAATGAATTAATTCAGGACCCCAAGCAGCAAGAGAAGAAGGAAAGGAAGCAAAAAGGGAACCTATTTTAGGAGAATTGTTACCTTAAAACCACATGGGATTCTGCTGCCTGCCACCCATAAATTCCAGAGGCAGATGTCTGGTGAAAAAAGAAAGGAGTCTTTTCTTTAAAAGCTACATAATTTTATAAGAATAACAGACTTCTGTCTCGAAGCCAATTCCATTTAAAGTACCCAAAGGAAAATAACCCCTCTACCTATTTTCCCAGATCAGTTCAAGGATATGCTTAGAATTCCTTCCACTTAAAAAAAAAATCGCTCTTTTGGATACGCAGGAGGCTTAGCTGGTTTCTAGTCACAGATCTGTTTCAGGTGTCTTTTGGAGTCTGTGTGCGCCGGCGTCCTAGTCATTGCTCCCTGCCCCTTCCTCTGGTCACTGCCCACGGGCCCAGGGCTTGTGCCCCGTCTCTACAGCTATAGGTTCTCCAGTGCTTCCTAATACCTGGCTGAGCAGGGCCACACACAGGGCAGTGCCAGTCATCAGTGCTGCCGCCGTTTCTCACGCAGGGAGAGGAATGGGGCTTGTCGCCTGGGCACGTGATCTCCAGGGCCGGCTGGCCCGGGAACACCCTGGTCCCTGACCCCCAACCTGGCTAGCAAAGGGAAGGAAAAAGAGGCGAGTTTCCGCACGCCCATTTAAAAATTCTGTTCCCAAATCCTGCGCACTGCGAATGCCAGTAAGAGTGTCTTTTCCCCTGCCTCGGCTCTCCCTTGCCACCTCAGGAAAGATACATAAATACTATCTTTTAGGGGGTTTTTTGTTGTTGTTTATTCTGTTTTCAGTCTTTTTTTCCTTCGTGTTTTTCTTTGAAAGGTTTATGTATGGATCTGAAAGTGTGACTTAAAGCAGAGTAGATATGACGGTGCTTGATGAACTTTGGGACGTAGCTCAATGTTAACAGACATAATTCGCAGGACAGATATGTGTCTTTAATCAGAATTGACATTTGATATTCACCTGGGCTTGCACAGGTTACTTAATTTCTTTTTATTATTAGTTTCTAAGGTCTTGGACCTTAAGTAGGTGGACTTAAATCGGAAATTTTCTTCCCCGATCTGCTGAGCCCTGATTTTTTTAGCAGACACAACTTAAGGACACCGAGGACGTAAATGAACTCAAAGAGGACAGGGCTTTGGATTCCATAAACACTCACCTTTAACTAGAGTGTTTATTCTCTTCTTTAAATTTATGTTTCAAGTACAGTTTACATTCAATCATATTCTCTATTAGCTTCAGATGTACTGCAAAGTGGTTAGAAAATCAAGTACTTCACAGTGCTCACCCTATTGCTTCAAGTACTCACTGGGCCCCATACTTATTTACCTTGATATTATTGACTATATCCCTACGTTGTAACCCACATCTCTGTGGCTATTCGCAACTACCAATTTATACTGCTTAACCTTTTCACTTTTCTTTCTTCCTCCAACCCCTCCCTTCTGACAGCTGTCAGTCTCTTCGAGAGTATCTATTCTTTCTTATAACCTATTTGTTGGGCTTACACATTCTGCATATACCTTCAGTGGAAAAAGGAAGTCCAAAGTCCAATTTCAAAGTGATTTGAATGTCACCGAGTAAGACAATTTCTATGATAATTCCCTTCTCCCTATTTGTTCATTCAGTCAGCCAGTCATTCAGCCATTCCACTTTTCCATTGAGGACACAATAGTAAGCAAAAGTATTAATTGTGATATCAATATCATTCTTAATATGTGTCAATTACTGTTTTAGATAAGGTGAAAGGATTAAGCAAAGAAAACACCTTGTAGACACTGAGAACAGTATGGTGATTATCAGAAGGAAAGGAGGCTGGGAGGAATAGAATAGAATAAAGCGGGGGCGGGGGGGGCTGTAAATGGAGACAGAAGGAGACTAGATGTTGGGTGGTGAACAACGCCACAATATACAGATGATGTATTTTAGAATTATACATTTGAAACCTATATAATCTTATTAACCCATGTCACACCAATAAATTCAATAAAAAGATTATTAAATATTCTCAGGGTTACTTGAGACATTAAAATTATCTTATTGCACAGATGAGGACATTGAGGTAGAGAAATGTTAATCACCGAGACCACACAGCTACTAAGAGGAAGAGACGAGATATAGACCTGATAAATGAGTTGCTGGAATCTATGTGCTTTATCAGTTCACCACACTGCCTCAGAGTCCTGCGTTCATGGAGCTTTCAGTTTAGAAAAAGACAGCTTTAATAAAGGAAGCATGCAGGAAAATGCATGACTGCTGCAAAAAAAGACCACGGTTCTCTTTACAGCATATTACAGCATACCATGCATGGGACAAGGGGAGTAGAGTGTGATGACAACTTGGCTTGTAGTATCTTCACTCAGAAAATGGTATTAAACTAAGATGAATGGATATGTAATATTTCATATGGGTCTTCAAACTTCAAAAATTATAGGCATTATTCTAGTTGTTTCTATACACATTTGTGCTTTCTGACATTAGCGAACATTTTAATTTGTAGATTCATAAGCTTAGTATGTGATTA